GGGTGGCAGCTTCCTGTACTCCCACCTACTCAGGGAGGGAGGAAGAAAGTTCAAGGCCAGCCTGGGCAGCCTAGTGAAACCCCACCTCAAAAATGAAGACGAAAGAGCCTTTGGGATGGCTCAGAAGGGGAAAAGCTCTTGCTACCAAAACTGATGAACCGAGTTCGACCCTTAGGGATCACAGTGGAAGGACAGAGTCAACTCCTGCACAGTCTTATCCGACCGCCACCGGTGCTGCTCACACATAATAAATATGACACACATGATAAACTAAAATATAGATATATACATGTATATATCTATGTGTAATATTATATGTTATATGTATAAATATATAGTGTGTGTTAAAAAGGGCTCGGTGAGGGTGAAGAGTACTCTTGCAGAGAGAGGGCCACGGCTTATTTTCCAGCACACAACTGCCTGTAAATCCAGTTGTGTAAACCCAGGGAATCAGACTCCCTGTGGTCTCCGAGGGAGACCATTAAATAAAGCTTTTTTTAAAGTTTAGGGAGTTTGTAGCTCAGTTGGTAGACTCCTTGCCTAGCAGACACTAAGCCACGGGCTCCTTCCTCAGCCCAGAGTGTGACGGCAGCTTTGTTGGAGGCCTTAGGACCTGCTGGGCAAGGTCATCCATCGTTAACGTGTTTAGTGATAGGACAGCCTGGGCTACATGAAATCATGTCTTAAATATAACGGTTTGTCAGGGGAGGGGCTTTTGTTTGTTTTGTTTAGTTTTCAAGACAGGGTTCTCACCCTGTAGACCAGGCTGGCCTCGAACTCACAGAGATCCTTCTGCCTCTGCCTCCAGAGTGCTGGGATTAAAGTCATACTGCCACCACCGCCGTCTCTTTTCTCCTTTCTAAGAGATGTCCATCTCTGACTTGGCTCATGTGCTGACGACTCCAGAGTGAATGCTGAGTGCTCCAGGCCCACCCTAACTTAGATATGGTTAGATAGGACCCCTATCGAGCTCACAAGGTGGTGCCTACCACTCTCTCCCTCTCCCAGCTGCAAGGGTGAAGAGGAGGGCTCAGGAAGCCCCAGCTAGCTTTGGGCGTGGACTCCACTTTGGTCATTAATCTGACATCTTTGAAGTGGATTATATTCTCCTCTGTAGCCAAGAGGGTAAGCCAGGTGAATCTGCTTGGCTCTGTACCCCATAGAGGAACCAAATAAAAGCAGCCTTTTTGCTTTCTTTTTCTTCTTCTTCTTCTTCTTCTTCTTCTTCTTCTTCTTCTTCTTCTTCTTCTTCTTCTTCTTATTTTTTTTTGAGACAGGGTCTCACTATATGTGTAGCTTTGGCAGTCCTAGAATTCACTTTGTAGACCACCAAGCTGGCCTTGAACTCTCAGAGATCCACATGCCTCTGCCTCCCAAAGTCTGTCCTTAACCGCTGAGCCATCTCTCCAGTCCGCCTCCTAAATTCTAAGATTAAAGACGTAAGCCACCGTGCCCAGCTTGCTTTCTCCCTCCCTTCCCTCCTTCCTTTTTCTCCCTTCCTTTTTCTTTCTCTTTCTCTTTGTGAGACTGGGTCTTACTTAATTATCCAGATTGGCTTTGAACTACCTCGCTCTGTAGCCCAGGCATGCCTTGAACTTTCCATCCTCCTGCCTCAGCCTCCGGAGTAGCTGAGATCACAGGCCCTGTGCCATCACAGAGGATGCTAGAAGACACATTTTTTTTATTCCGCCAACCGGGAGAGAACAAGGTCCCACGGAGCCCAGCACAGCCAAGAGGCACCTTCTCTCAGCCTTGCCAAGATGGCAGGCTGCTCTTTGCTGGTCTACGTTGTTGTAGAAATGTTAAAGCTGCAGGCCCCTTTTCTTCTTTCCATGTCCTATCAGCCTTTTTGTTCGGTTTGGTTTGGTTTGGTTTTCCCAGAAAGGGGCCTGAAACCTAGCACCAAACCTCCAGCCTCAGCATATGAAGGTGCTAGGATGTAGACAGCCGTCATGCCCGTCTCTCACTCACCTTGAACGGGCTACGATTCAGCCCTCCCCCCGGTAGAGCCCTTGTGATTTGCGGGGTGACTTTATCTGGGCAACAGGAGGTGTTTGGGTGTAGAGGTCAGACAGCAAGCCAGAGCCACTGGCTGCTTCCTGCTAGGCTCTATGCTGTGATGATTCTGACACCGGCCTTTCCCTCCTGGTGGATGGGGGTCTGGAGCAAGGCTGGTGTAAGAGGGTTGAGATCCGTTTTGGGGACCAGTCATGAATCCACGCCTTTTGCCCCCTCACCGACTGTCTGCAGGTCCAAGCTAATTCCCGCTTCTCTCTCTCTCCCCAGAGACAAGAAGACCAGCATCGACACCGTCCCTCGCCCTGGAGGGTCATGTACAATCTCTTCATGGGACTCCTTCCCTTACCCAGGGATCCCCCAGCCCCAGAAATGGAGCCCAACTAGGTGCCTACACCCGCTCGAGGGACGTCGGGGACTTGAGGGGCAGGACCCCTTCCGCCTTCTGACAACCTGGCCAGCGGCGGGGACTTTTTCTGCACCATGTAGCATACTGGACTGCCAGCCTTGCCTGTCCCAGGGGCGAGCAAGGAAAGCCACTCGAGCCCAGGCAGCCTGGGTGCACTGATGGAGATACGGACTTGGAGGACCCTGGCCTCCTGAAAGCCAGGGGAGGGAGGGCTGACG